CGGTCACCGAGAATTTTCTTCCCCTTGAGAATCATCGGGCTGATATATTACGAAGCAGTGACCGAATTTCCAATTCCTAAATTCATACTGCTGGCCTAATGTTTACACAGTCACATCCAAATTAACTTTGTTTTCTAGAAGTTCAACTGCTGGTAAGATAACTTTTCCATGCGTCTTCACAGTGAATCTTTTAGTGGGCACGCTGTGAGCTAGAATCGTTTTCAAGTGGCAGGTAATTTAGAAGTTATCGGCATTATTCGAAACCCACCACATCTAGGTTTCAATGACAAAGAATTACTTCCTTGCATATCCGAGTCCCTCCTGAAGCCAGCTTCTTCACCCACGATAGGTTCTTTGTAGGAAAGAATAACCATTGCACGATTGTTTATTTGCCATCATTGTTAAAACCGATGGGAATATGACTCAAAAGCTAGTTATGGAGATATCGACCCCAAGCACCGGGTGTAATTTTTTAGTCATTTTTTATTGCAGTCTCAGTAGTAATTCAGTGCGGATTTTCCTCCCAACATTGTTACTGTCATACTAATATGCTCAGCAAACAGAGTGTTTTAAAGAAAATCTTCATGTGTAGCTTGGTTGAAGAGGTCACAACTCCATATTCCTTTCTTGACTGTATTGTATTTACTATTAGCACAGAACTGTCCAATTATTAGGATCAAATACTACTGCGCAATACTTTATGGGATATTATCGATGGTTTAAATCTGAAGCAATGGTACGCTGTCGGAGTTACTTGGCAATATATTGTCTTTGGGTCAATAAGAAGAAGATGCAAGAAGATATCATAAGGTCCATTTTTGTTAAGACAAATGCATACTTGAGCTGCATCACCTGTAATTCTAAGAAGACCAGTTGTTTTTTTTTTGTTTAATGTGTTTTACTGCGCCTTTATAGCATGCATCGACTTGAAGGTACATCGGTTTCCCGGCAAATACTCCCTATGCAACCGCCGCAGTGCATAAGAGGCGCGAGCGGAGGCCAGTTAATTCGGGTTTGTTTGAAGACAGCTTCCGCGGCCTGTAAACTTCTCCTGAGAGAAAAATGTGGATCAATCGAAATAAGTTAGTAAAAACTGCTCCTCATAGTGATGGTTGTAGCAGTACAATGAAGTAAAGCGTGTTGACTACAGTCTCCGCGTAAACAGGAGCTACAGGCGGCAGTTTATGGTCCTGTTATGAGTATAAAGTGAATTCGGGACGGCAAATTGATAAATTTTCTATCTTAATAATATATGTTCTCGATCTAATGACGCTATTTGTGGACCCCCGACATCAGATGGTACAATATTTTTTGTCATTTCATGGGTCACATCATCAGTATCTAATTCGACGACATGCATCGATTATTTCAGAGTAGTGCTGTGTAGGCTCATATAAAATCTGTCTTAGAATGCGCGGAGTTCAATTCTGCCGCTTGTTATTCATTAACAACAAAGTATCCTAGCCTTTTGAGAAATGTGCACTCAAGATAATCGGGATGTACTTGGTAAAATGTGTGAAGTATGGTCGTCCAGGAGAATCAACTGACCACACACGAAGAAAGTTTTTAATGAAAACTCTTGTTTGTAGGCTGCGCACGTGGTACATTTCGTAAGTGAAATCCCAAACCCGAAGCCGATAACTTAGAAAACACAAACCATGACCTCCAAGCCTGTCGCCGCTCAGTCAATGAAGACTCTCTGCCAACTCTTCTTTTTCATGCGCCTCATTTTCTCAGACCATAGTCACTGGACCAAACGAAGGTTACGTTTCCCAGTATTGTACATTTTATATCAGGTGATCCTTATTGATACACAGCATCTGCCGCTATTCGGAAGGTCGAACTTGAATGATGACTGATGGTGACATGGATGCCATCGGTGGTTTCCAATTAAGTTTACCATCGAATAACTCAGAGAGAGAAACATGGCTGGTCCAGTAAGCGCTCCACAAATTAGAAATCTGAAAGACTCAACATCAGCAGAATTGTTCCACTTTCCACAATTTCGTGCGTCATTATGGGCTGGATTTATGGGAACATTTATTGTATGAGAAGTATACAACGCAAAATACACAGACGGCGGTAATGGAAAACACGTCAGACACAAGTAAATCATGACAGTGGTAGTGGATAAGGTTACATCATCGTCATAATCATCATTGTCAGCTGTATTAACCGCGTACTCGTCGTGCAGTGGTTGTAGCTGCTGCAATTTCGTTCACTGATGATTTGGTGAGGGGGGGGGTATGTAGCTGCGCACTGCAGACGGCAGCTGATTAATTGGTGCATAAATCCAGCACTGTCAGTGGGCTGTCGAATGGGGGTTGGAAAGGGAGCTATGCATTGAAGGCAATAGCACGGATGCACGAGCGCCATTGAGGGCGGGACTGAGCCATGTCTGACAATATCTCTAGCCATTGATGTGGCCCGTATCGGGGTCCCCATCCAGCAAGACGGCAGTGACCAACGCAGCTGAGTTTGCTGGTAATGGCTTTCATACTTCTCTGCCAAGTCATTGTTTGACTGTCTCTGGCTCTCTTCCACCCTTTACGTGGTTGTGCGAAAAGAGCCCTTCAAGGAAGTCGGTCGACCGGCATACGCAGCACATGGCCAAGCCAGCGCAGTCTACGCAGTGTGATCAGTTCATCTATCGAGGGTGAGTTATTTCTCCCGAATACCATTCGACGTACTCCAGAATTGCTAATCCGGATTCGGGCAATGCTCCGAAGACATCGATGGGAAAACACTGAAAGTCTTTTGACGTCCTCAGCGCGCAGCGGCCAGGTTTCCGACCCATATAGTAATATGGAGCGCACCGCAGCATTGTAAACAGATCATAGTCATATACTTGCCTCAACCCCGGTGACATTGGAGAATCCCCTTGACAAAAACTTTTCTATGGTGTTCCGCATTTAGGGTGGAGCTTTTGATAATTATCTTAACAAAGACAAGCTCCAGATCACCGGAAAACCTCACATATATCTCCTTACCTGAACCTGTGCCGCATGGCACCCACAACGATGCGTGTGTCTGTATGCGGGTACGACCACTTCTCAAATTCTTCGCGCTAACGTGTTGTAAAGCCGAGCAGTGGTTTTTATTTGAGTGTCTTGTCATAAAACGCCACAAAAAATTACTATTCAAGCACATTTGAACCATTAAAACCCTAAGCAAGCGAATGCTTGCATCAGCAGATTATGTCAAGTCCGGAAAGTCCTTGGGGATGACAAAGTGAGAATCCGTCCTCGGCAGCGAGAAGTTTCCTCATCCTCAGTGGCATAACCTTTCTCACACTCTCATTGAATTCATCTACGTTTGTTGACCGGCAAACTCGTCAACACTTTAACGTTTATGTGACCGTTTATGGACTTGAGGTCGTATGAAATATTGATGTGAACATTCGTGTAGGAGACTTAGTAGCATAAATTATTGTTTATTAGCTGGTGAACATAACAGTACTGAAATTATCCGGATTGATATTGTGATCATCTAATAATTACCGACTGACCGAGAAATGACATTTCATTCAATCGATAGGCCATACAAACTCCAGCTGCCTGCCTTGGTTTATGATTTTACTCCTAAAGCTAGGTGAACAGCTCCGATAAGGCAGTCCCTGATATAGCGAACAAGATGACCTGATGAAGCTCAGTAGAAAAAGACCTAAGATTCTGAGAGGATTTTACTGAACTACGATATCAGGTTTCACCCGGCCTGAAAGGTAGTGATAAGTAAATAAACAGTTGACAAAATGGAGAAGTTAATTTTTCTACTTCTGTGTGACGGCAAATTCTGAGGAAAAATGATGAGACTGCATGTTAGAAAGGTTACCAAACCCACATCTGAAACTACATTATTTGGACATTTCGATAGTTGGCGGTAGGATGTTATGGGATTTGTAGAAGTCACATGCATAACACTCGTTTCACGTCTTCCATTTTTCCCGACGCGACTACTGTGGTAGGTATAAACGAAACAGAGAAAAATTTCACCCTTATTGGAGTTGATCAGCAGTCCACATCGTGAGTCATGCAGGGGTTCGAACTCCGAATGTTCAGAATGCGAGGCAAGCTGTTTTCACTGCTTTACCAGCATAAGTTAGACGCGTCCAAATGACACGTTTGAATAGGCGATCCTGCTCACCCTTGAGTGATGTGGTTGGCTAACCCGGCGGCTCGAACGACGATTCAGTAACTGTCCTGTTTGTGTCTGCCCGTCAAAAAGTCCGAGTCAGGCAGCACCATGGACGTTTGCTAACTAATTAAACAACTAATTAAAAATCCGTCCAGCAAGTTTTAGACATCCTTGGGGCAGTTTGACTGGGATCTTTTGACAGGTGGATTAGTCATTCGACACAAACATGGCAGTTATCAGGTCGTCGTTGGAGTCTTCCGACAAACCAGTCACATCGCTCAGGCGTTTATATCATCGTCTATTTAGATGTGGTAATTCAGGGGTGTCCAGGGTGTGCTAGTAGAGTAGCAGTCATACGCTTACCTCATGCCAGATGTCCGAGGAAAAAGCATTACTGACGAAGCATGAACCCAAGAGGTGAACTGACCTATAGGAAGCCGCTTCTCGGGTGGAATATCTGCAGCATTTTTTAAATGCGCCAAATAACGAGTGTTACTTTTACAAAGGTAAGTTTGCAACTGATGGATTATTTTGAAATATCTGTAAACATCAACCAACATTTGGGTGTAACCCTATTGAGTGACTTTGTGTGTCTGATCTGTTAGTAGTCCAACTTAAAGCGTGAATCGTGGAAGCGAAAACAGATTTTGCCATCTGTTGTACCAGCCTCAGTCGTATGGGAGTAACCTGACCGATAAAGAAGGGTTTGTCTTGCTCGAATGGCGTAAACAGTACCCTATCGAAGAGTAAGTTGCATGTTGGATTAGGCCAGGTAAATGAAATCTCGTTAGGACCGGAAAGATCGGGAGCATTATCTGTCAGTATCGTTTCCTCTAAGCAGTAGTTTCTGGCACAATAAGAATGTTGGCACTTTCTGTAATGCAGAATGAATTCTTCGACAAATAATACAAAGATTTCAGGGGATCAATGTGCACGGTAAGAAAAGAATGGGGATAGTTCTCACATCTGTGTAGATGCATGTCAAAGTTCCAGAAGGGTGGAATAAAATATACGGGCGAAGATTAACATACTAGGGGAAACGATAATCCTCTCGCGTTCGACCCAAACTGGTTGTTTCCCATCGGAAAGTTTGGTTTCTACGATACTGATTACACTTTTGGTTCACTTGTATTATTCCACAAATCCTTTTCACTAGAGAAGTGTAGTTTTTTCAAAATGTCGGCTTTGCTCAAAGGATGATTAACGTTTGGAGCGACACGGATTGCGCTTCCATTTTCGGTGGATTTAGAACGATTTGTAGCACTTTTTCGGGGTCTCCAGTAAAGGTAATCGAATATGGCCAGACTACCGCCAAAGAAGACGTAGCAGGCATATATGTACACTAAGACATCTCTATAGCTGAGTGCGGGAACAGCGAGTTGAATAATTTGAACAGATATTCCAGTGAATATTTTGTCCATGAGTGAAGCGAATCCATGAATAAACGCTCCCGTTTTCACCTGAGTTGTCCCAATCATGTCCGACACAACAACAATCGCTACCACATTGTTGAACGCCACTCCGATGCCTTGGAGGACGGCAGCAGAGTACAACATGGCTTGGTTGGTGGAACCTTTAGGATAGAACCACATCATTCCACAAAAGCCCAGAGTGAAAAGAATGCCCACCACCGTGTTGCCCTGGATAGGTAGGATGTGAAACAGAAAAGGCAATGACATAAATGCTTGTTCAGATACATTTCCCATAAGAAACAAGTGCTTTGTTTACGCATTGCACCACAGTAATTTGGCTGAGTTGCAAGCAAGTGGGCAAAGACTGTAAAAAAACAGAATGAACCAGGATATACGGGAATATTGTCCATTGTTTAGCCAAGTGCCGGTGGAAGGAACCTAGTTTTATGACAGCAGCAATGTTGAGTATGGGCCATGTCAAAGTTCATTTGTGCTCATTTGTGGTAAGAATCGACTCAAGTCATCTGTTCCTATAGAACTCTCAGTGCGCCCTCGAATTGTAAAATGGTGTCCCTATAAGTGCGGAAACTAAACCCACCACCAACGGTTCGAGGAGAGGCATTCGTTATTTACTGAAAGTTCTAGCAGTTCCTTCTCTAGCGGCACGAATAAAGTCTGTGTACTAATCTCTGAGGCTTAGCTGGTGTTTTGTAACATGCAACGCCTGAGGCGACAAACTGTCACATCAGGCCACAGAACGGATCATTCCTTGAACAGTTTTAAGATGACGTTTACGAGCAGCGGAATGGGGCTTCCTTCATCGACTCAGATCTGTTTCTAGTATAGGGTTGTGACAACGAATCTGAAGCTGGTGACTGGTTTTTGATCGGAAAACATGTTCAACACCAAGAGCTGTGATAGTTTGGTCGTGTCTTCTGAAAACTGACTCACAACGTACCGTACCAAATTTAGAGTAGCGCAGGCAACAAAATAGGAAATTCTGGCATAGCTAATGGATACAAAAGTGAACACAAAAGTTTGGTTATCTTGGTGATGCCTGCCTTCGAGTATGAAGTGCACATGATCTTCCAAGATCTTGATCACAGACTGCAAGACGTGGTCGCTAATGAACGAATTTCATGTTGCCACTTGCTGTCCGATCATCTTCTCAGATGCATGGAGTTGCGACCGATCTGATTCGTGACCATTCTAACTAGCACTGATATAGTCATAAGAACGGCAGTTGAGTCATGAGGCCCTAGTGCTCATAAAACACTTAACACTGGTGCGAAGACCTTCTGAGTGGCTAACTGGAGTGACAATCACATAGTGTGCGGAAACCATGCTATATCGCTAATAATCGGGTAGTAGAACGGAACTTTGAGCAGCAACGATACATCGTTTAATGAATAACGATGTTCCTGAGATCTGCCATATCTTGGTTACCAACCCCTGAGGATCCGACGATGTGGACGAAATTTCCATAATTCTAAGACCCACCGAAGTGTTCGGCCTCTGATGTGTGTCTAACTGTACATTGGTAACATTGGCGTTTCAAAAGCCTTGATCAGGTCATGCGTACTGATCAGAATAACAGTGCTGGGATAGGCTAAAGGGTCTTATGGAAAAGGAGCTTTTCCACAATGGATGAGTCATTCACACTTTATTGCTTACTTTGGTTAGGAATTGTACTTAGATTATTAGAGTACAATATGCCTCGCAGAGGTCTTATCACCTAACCCTGTGCTGAGGGTAGCGAACCAGAGCAGAAAAGTCTGTGACCTGGCCTGAAAATATTAACAAGTGAACTCAGTCGGGTCAAAATGGATCATCTCCCTGGATGGGAATTCCGGAGTTTAACTTACCAACGGTTAGTGATACTAGCAGGCGCCCAATCACGCAGCTAGTGATACTCGTACAGGAAGCCATCACATTTGGTGCGCAACTGCTCTGAGAGCACTATCAACTCCAATGCTTGGTCACATCTCTTAAATAATCCCATTCGCGGTCACAGCCTGCAGCAGTTAGTGCATGATTTATAGGTAATAAACTGACTGGCTGGCCAGTATATACCCCGTCTTTTAATTACGTGCAGCTGTCAAATCTGATTTGAGTCAACTGCATGCTCAACACTTCCTGGTCCTTTGGGAAAATGGTGATCCATCTGTTACGAAAGACTGTTGAGAAGGGGTGAGTCCTGTCGATTTGCATGGCGGATCAGAGATGCCAAGGGTTGTCAATCGACATGGACATAGGCATCGATTGACATTCCCTGGTGCTTAGCTGTCCTGTCATCTGAATTAAGCTCGAGGGCCGAAATACTACTAAGTTACCCAAATTTAGACAGGAGAAGTCGAGCTGCAGAAGTCTGGTGAACACCACGGATCTTCCGGTTAGTTAGTTCGTGTCTAAACCACTGTTGCATCAAGAAGTAAAGATCGCTTGATTTTTGAATGCCATGCAGTTTCTTTTCACATTGACCGATTTTATCGTGTTTTGGGGTTCATAGCAGTAAGTGTGATTAAGATTCAGGGTGTTTCTATGCTGTGTATTCATATAATTGAAAGGATTAAGGTAAGGGAAACTTACCAGGCGGCCGGTCAGTTTCGTTATCCGGTGTTGTACTAATGTTGCCACGAGGGAAGTGACGAAGATGACAACTGGAAGAGTGACAACGCTTGACTTTTCCAGTTGAAGAGCGTGTATGAGAAACGGCGACAAATAAAACTAAAACGGACGGAAGCATGTATTACCATTATTTGGTTGATCGTCCTTTGCGCTTCAAAAAGCAGTTGCTGCTTTTGGAAAATTAACGTCAATAGGATCAACTGCTTTACAAGGGTCCACTTTAAATGCACACTTTCAGAAACAGGCTATGAATTGTACGTATTTCTTTTTAAGAATTTGCTAGCAGTCGTACATAGTAGTTGTTTAACAGAGTCCATCCATTTGAGTTTAATACTGGTGGATGAAATTGAATCCGTAAGCCTCTTTGGTATACTGCTACGTATGATCTACAGTCAGGTAAAATAATCTAGGGATAAAATGGGAGACAAAGATCAGCAAACAGCATACAGAAGCGATTGCAACACAGTTACATTTCAGGATGTGGGTGGCGAGCAAATACGAGTTCAGTCTCTTAAAGTAGTCAGTCGAACTAACTGAGTCCTCTATCCAGCCTGTCTCTCAGCATAAGGTTCGTATGCCACCACCTTCTTTTAAACAATATCAGGTGGTAGGGGTCTATTTACTGTCAAATCTACACTATCCGTCTGTGTGTAGGCCATCAGAAAAGCGAAAATTGGCACAGCAGTTGCGTTGCCGCTGAACACATTCCCATGCACTCTAAACCATTTAAACTCCATTTGGCCTCTGACTTACAAGTTACAAAGGCTTCAGAAGGTGAATAGAAGTGGGACACTCAGGATTCATTCAAAGGCTGAAACAAAACCCAAGCAAACGTTTAGCCAGTTCATCTTTTAAAACATCAGTTAGTAAACATGGAAAAAGAAAACCTGGAAAAGGTATTGGAGACAATAGTAATCTTGTTTATTTAATAATACCTTTCAGAAAGCCATGATAAATTTGCAAACATAAAATTCTCTCTCAGGACACACGAATGGCTGCAAGGTCCCAAAAACTCCTGGTCTACTGAGATGTGTTTGATGAATTCTCTCTGCCAAACGATACAGCAATAAAATCTAGCCTCCATTTTTCACTCACGACCCACACGCCTCCTTCACTGCCTGGTTTTTTCGTGACAGCGCTTGTGAGATTTCCTTCTCTACTCACGCTCACGCGGTCAGTTTTTCTTGGTGAATCGATGGTAACTTACTAGACTGGCTCACCACTGCCTCCTGGTATAGCAGCTCAATTTGAACGTCAAAAACTCTACATGTCCTTGGTTTAACAATTGCTTCACAGTTTAGGAAATGAAAGCTGTATTTCACAAACAGCGCATTGTAAGCTGTGTAGCTACCATCAAGCCCTTGCGATTTAATTCAAAGGCCTCTGGTAATTTTGTCTGTCGAAGCATGTGAAACCAGCGTTGTGTGCCTTCAAACTCTGTTCTATATGCATTCTCATTTCCTCTACCGATGAAGCATATGATAAGTGGTATGTGGTGCCTCCCAGTTTACACTATAATCCAAACTTACCATTGACAACGTCACACCAGTTCTCATGGTAGTGAAAGCCAAGCAGCATATCCAAAACCGAAACTCTCGGAACCACAAGTACCAAACAAGAGGGCACTCTTTTTCCACAGTTCCTTGGGTTGCATGGTTTTCCCGATAGGGTATATCAAGCTCTGTGACTTGTATTCGGCTTCTTCCGATCTCATTCAGGCTGCTGCATAATGAGTGTAGTTCGTCAAGGCTTTTAATGAATTCTGGTATGGGACGAGTTGGATTTGATTGATTCTCACCTAAGTCCAGAAAACAAAGAATATCTAATTGAAAATCATCCGAAAACTGTTGCAGTCTAAAAAGAACAAGAACCAGGCTTGCGGAAAACGGATTATAGCACTGCTGTGCATTGATTTTAGACTGGCTGTTTCGGTACGCCAGGAACTTAGTGACTTAGCGGATGATGCCGGTCTCCACTGACAAGAAAACGGACGAAGACGGTTTGAATTGACACAACATCACGTCTATTCATGCCATCTGACAACCTGTGGTAGGAATCTACATATCACCAGTCGACCATACTCCACCCGTCAAATAATTGCTTATATTCGGCTCCGCGGAGACCATACTTGGCCACCGGTAGTGTCAACGCTGTTGGCTGAAAAATCCATCCGGTACCAGCCACCCTCATTGTTTTTACTGTATGATGTATAAAATATAGCATCTGTTGAGCAAACAATGGTGTGTTCTCATCGAATGTACAATGATCTTTGATAAAAGTATAGTACATCACAACACAAAACCACTAAAATCTCATTGGGAAGTATCGAAACACTATACCACGCATGATCTAAATTAGTGTTACCAATAGTATTATATTATCGTGCCAGCGCTGATAGTGGGTCCCTTTTCATTTCAGTTTACCGAAGAGATGTAAGGTGGCCCAACTTTGCCGTGTAATCATGCTAATGGAGTTCCGGAATGTTGGCAGCAAACAAAGTGAGCTGGACAGTTAATTACTGAAACTTTCCTCCAAGCGTTTAGTTCGATGGGCACCTGGGCGGTCGATGGTGTGGCTAGCTGGGAAATTGATAGAAAAAAGTTTATCCGCTTTTTTCGACTAGGTGTTGTCACCGACAAACCCGTATGAGGAACTAACGACGCCAGTGTTTTGCAGAGAGCATAGTCTATAGTTGAAACGATTGGCTGCACACTATCGTCATCAGATCATAACAAAAAGTATGCTTTTTTTAGTTTATTTCTAACAACAAAAATAATTTTGGACAAACAAAACCAAAGGCCTCATGACACGCTGTGGAAGCATCGGATGGCTCATCGACCAAGGCAGGAAACTATTGATCATAAGGCCCATGGTTCAAAACCAGGCCATGATTTCAGATTGTTTCTATCTGAGATTTGCAGTGTCTCAGCACGCAGACTTCCTATGACTTGCAAACCGCTATACATTGATACGATGCTGAAACCGAACCACTATTATTATTGTTGTGCTCTGCAAGCGATGACCAGAGACAGCATTAACTGAAAGGTGATAATAACGAAAAAGACTCATTTGAAAGCAAATTTGGTTTTGACAGAGATTCATCAGGGATCTAGCTGAATCACTTGTTTATGATGTTTAGCTAATTTCGTGCAATTTGGGTTCAAGTAGAACATAAGGTTGACTGAAGCTCGGGACTGCGCCCACCTGATGAGCCCCAAGAAGGCCGGAAACGGTCGTGGGCCGTAGAAGAAGTTTCAGCAACCTTATGAATAGTGTATTACGTCTATGGAAGCTGATATCCTTAAGCTCTAGGTCCACTAAATTTAAATGGGTTGCCCAAAACCTTATTGATTCCACTCCTCAGGAAACAGGCAAAAGTTCTTGCAATTTACAAGTTTTCCTTGGTTGTTCAACCAACTGGGTCACTCATTAACTCATCACTCATTTCTGATGATGTCTCCTTGTATGGTAAGGGAACATTTACAAGTCAGTTGTGAAATTTGACGAAGAGATAAATAGCCAACCTGACTTAAGCAGATCGTAGTTTTATGAGAAGGACTCGCACAAGACCACTTGGAGACTCATATATCCAAACCACATATTCCGTCGGCAAGAGTGTCAGCTGACAGAAGAGGTTGTATCCAGAAAACAATGGGTCCAATTCAGGTTCTCGGGTTGAAATGTTGGTGTGGCCTGTTTTGACTTCAGCCAGATTGTTGACAAAATAGTCCATCAAAGGCTGCTAAGTAGGCTGGACACTTAATGAACCGAAAGCACTTCCACCTGTCAGATGTCAGAATGGTTAGTTGACCAGCGTTTGCCGCTATCATTGTGGCGTATTGTTTGCAGCGGTTCCCGCGAGCACCACCCTCCTTCCTCAAAGTGTTCGTATTATACATCGGTCAGCTGCCAACGATGATTCATTCTCCACTCTGGACCGCACAGGTTACGTCTGGATACATAGATAGCCTTGCAATGGCGACCACTCCGAGCATCAAAATCATTTTGCCTCTTTTGGTTACAAAAACTAACCACAATGTTTCGTAGCTTGGAAGGCCTTGTGCAGCTGCATACTGGGGACATTCGGTTTAATCAGATATATCTCAAGTGACATATTATCAAACACTCTGAAGATAGCAGCTCATACCTACTGAGTCTAAGCGTCTGCATAGATTGTGCCATCTTCAGTACAAAGGTCGTCCCGTAGGTCCAAGTTGATTCAAGTAGAACATGAGGTTGACGAGCTGATAAACCCCATGTCTCTGGCTGGTCTACCAACCTTTGTGAGTAGCTTTCTTTAGAAAAATGCGTGCACCTAGAATAACAAGCCCAATGAAACATGAGGTAGCCTTGAATTTGAGGAATAGCATAGAAGAGAGATGCTGCTGGAATTCACTTGAATCCTCCGTAAAGATAAGACTTGTTTACAAATGGGTGCGTTTCAGGAACTTGGTCATTTAGTCACTTGAAACCATGGTTGGACTACGGCTAGTATGCAACACGGCACTCTACTCTGGGTTACGTATCATCTATCTGACATTAAGAATCTCAGTACGAGGATCATGCAGCATCCCCAAGTTGTCCCTTCAAACTACCGTCCGTGACACGAAACACCAAAGGAAAATGAACTCTAAATGTTAGTCACTCTACCACTGCCTAGCGATGTAAGGTGCAGAGGCCATCACTTAACTCTTCGAAAGCATGGGACCTCAGCCTTCTTGTGCTTGCCTAGTAGAAATGCCAGTCTGTGTAAGCCACTAACTGCAGTCGTGGTGAAGGTAGATAGCGATCATATTTTCAACTGTAAACTCGATGAACATATTGGAGGCATGTATCTCACTGCAGATAGCTGTTCAGCGCGTGATCTTTAGATGGGGCTCAGGCTTTTGAAGTTCTTTTTGCAAGCTATATGCCAAATGCTGGATACATGCAGAATGGCTTGTCAGGTCACTCTGCGGTGAAGCATATCTGCTTCATCTGCATTCACCATGAGTGGAAATAAATATACAATAGAAGTAGATTCCCAACTACAAACTCATAGTTAACGTGGTTCTGGAATGTAAAAAACTGGTGTCTTTCCTCTTCTGTGCGGCATATTTCTGAATGCAAATAAATGCACAGCTGGTCGAATTTAGTGGCCTATGGAGATGAGAAGATTTTGACAGAATACTTTCTCTTGAAAAACCTAGGTGCTCATTATTCGAAAATGTTTGTATAGCATAACTATTTTGTTTTCGCATAACTATTACCTCACTGAACCTAGGTAGGATGAACTTAAGAATAGCAAAACAGTAATCCAATCGATTACGACCAACTGAAAGCCGTACGGAAAAACATGCACTTTGGTAAACGTGTTTTATCAATTGCCGTCCTTCCTGGTTGCGGAAACCTGTCGATCTGGGAAGGTTTGTCACATGCTAGTCCTGAAACAGTATGTTCCTATTATGCAACACATTGAGCCACGATCAGGCGTTATCTGCCACTGCATCAGTCACTCCGGTGTATTTTGGCGCTGCTGAAAATATGCTACGGAGTGAAATTTGCTTCTGAGGACCTCCCACCAGCAAGGAGTCTAAAATTAGTGTCTACTGAGATGAATTCTCTTCTGCAGAAGATATCATTTTCAAACAGAAGTTTAGTCTCTGTGTTGAGCAAAGCTACCTAGAAAGGACTGAAATATTATTTGGGACCATATTCCAATGGAGATTATCATTCGAACGTTGAAGCATATTTACTGGAGAGCGAGCAGAAAAAACGGCTTATTGTGTAAGTACCTTGTCTAGAAGGACCTCAACGTATCCAACTAAATTCGGAATCCTAAAAGTTACCAGGATTTTCATGTGTTTATAAAATAATGGTACTTTTTAATGATTCTCTGAGCTAGCTTGCTAGATTTGCTTAAAGTGCTGTTGGGACAGATGCGTTTGAAACGCCTTTTATTAGTACAGATGCCAACTTAAAGGACACGTCTAATTTTGGCCGGTTGTTTAAGGATTTAATTAACGTTTGAGATCAACCAGGGATTTATCAACGAGAGTCGCCCCTTTTACGATGTCTCTCCAGGAAGGAATAACCAAAGTAGTGACACGCGGAGGTGATAAATTCCACACTAAAAACATGGTTACCACACGTTTAGTTGACAAATTACTCAGCGTCAAAATCCAAACGGACAAAAGCAAGAATAGTGTGTCATGGTTTTTGCCGAATACCCTTGGAGGGGCGTTAACTCGATAGCTTCTTAAAATGCACTTCAAGCCGAATCCGTATTGCCCTAGGGAGTTGGGAGTACGTCCAGTTGAGGGTTGAGCACATTAAGTAGACCGAAAAACATTAGTCACTTATTCCAGCTGTGGAGACAGATCTGTGCAAATTATCGTTATGTTTGGGAACTAAATTTTAACTGTGACTGACTTGAAGCAGGTTATAAATTTTTGAAAATAACGAATGCCATTGTACTGAGTGTTGTTCCATCTTTTTGCTGGTTGGATTCGCAGAATGCAGACCTTTGGATGTGTATTCAAATGTCGGAACAACTGATTTTCTAAACCATGGCAAACAGCTTCTAGTAATGGATCAGACAAAATGGTTATCAAGAAAGAAGAATGGTTAGCATTCCCTTAAGTTTGAGAAGGTTGATGACGGAAACACTCCTGGAATCGACCAGACTATGAAAAACAAATCCTATTAACCTGTGGTTGTACCTCCGCAATGGGTCATCAATAGCTGCATCCCTTGTTAACCGTTCCCTGCTATCATCAAGATGGCCAAAGACAGCCAGTGTTGTCAAGAATTTCCACCTTGTTACCTTCAATCTTTTCACTGGTTGAGTAGCTCTTCTGGATGCAAACTGATGAGGTTAGTGTAGACAGTCCACTACATGCATATCAGTAAATGCAACACGTGGCCGATGAGACTTCAAAAAACTAGTAACAAACTCCATTCTTAAGATACAGTTTTGTTGCTGGCATTTCAAATTGTTTGTAAACACGCTGAATACCCTCATTTGTACACCATTCCGGTCATTACAGGAGACGCTACTGATTCCTAAATGAATTTCTCGTTTGTGGTGTACCTGTTCAACTAAATATGAAACTCGGACGCCGCCAGTTGACACGACACTTGGGGCAGTGCAGTTTACTTTCTCGAATGAAGCTACTTACAAGGTTACTGGAAATTTTTCGACAATCCACGACTGGTTTCGCCTAATTTGTGGCTCGTCCGATGGGCCCAGTTCTCGAGTTCCCTTCAGCGTTATGTTCCACTTAAACAAAAGGATAATGGGAACTCGGGAATGGCAACTACCTGATGATACCCAAACACAGCAAAACCGATCGTCAAATTTCAAAGAATTTACACTAACCTTGTAAGTGTTTTCATTCAAAAATTTACTTTTAAACACTTTTGAATATAAGTATACATAGCTACATGCCATTTCATACGATAGTTTGCTTCTTTCGGCTGTGTCCATCTTGAATACTATCCACTAGCTCGTCAGAGGGTTAGTTATGCTGCAAAAAAACGTGAACTGGCTTGAATTTACAATTCCTGTTTACAAAATTACCGTACAGCATATCAGCTAAAGTCTGCTGCTCATTTTCACTGAAAAGTAAAGGGGAGTTTCTGAAGAAAACCCACTGACAAGTATTTATCCGCGAGACCTCAATGAATTTTACGGTTGAACATATATTGTATTAAGTATTCAGATGCTGCCAAGCTGCAGATGAAGCCACAAATTTGCTTCACAGGTTAGCGGACGCCTGTTGTACACACAGTGTCACTTCTGTTTGGCCATACGTTTAGGATACCAGGTCTTACATCTTAGTGAAGGTTTCAGGCCAAAGTTCACCAACCACGTCAGTGTGCACAAACCTTTCATGAATGAGTGATATATTTAGCTTAATCTGGAACCGGTGATCCCCTAAATGTCCATCCAATGACTTTCTAGCTCCCAGTTTCATTTGACTTGCATGGTTTATGATCTCTGGCGGATATAGCAGAGAGATGCTGATAAATTTTGCAACCGCTAATAATGTGCAATTTTGACATCTGTGTGCAAAACGATAGAAGTGTGACCAATATCCGCTCTTTATACAACCTGACCAAGATTCGAAAGAAAATTCCGACGGCAGATGGCCATACAAAGCGTCCTGAAACCGGGTTATTTCTATTGATTTTGCCAAAAAATTTTTTCATTATCACTGTCGATTTCGGAGCTTCAGTAGTAGAGAAATCCATAGAATTTTTATGTGTGTGGTTATTCTGGTGGCAGATTATTGCTGCATTTTGGAGAAAAATGAAGTAAAGTTCCCACGCTGATAGTATTATAACACCGCCAATCATTAAGTAGCTCAGAGGAAGAATAATTTTGCAAGGTGTGTAAAAACTTTCCACCTGAGAAGTCGTCATTGGAGGGGCCAGTCAATACTTGACAGCTTCATGTGGTTTCGCTGATTAGAGGTTGATTGACGCTGTCATACGTGCGAGCCAATCACACTGCCAATCAGCAGGTCGAGGTTGAACGGTTGATTGTTCAAACTACTATCCCGCTAGTCGAAATTTAGAGATTCTCCACTGGGGTTTCGTTAGATATGCACCACTGACAATTCCGAATACGGAGAAGAGGGTCATACAACGTTCATAGGCTTTTCAACATTGACAAGTCTAACTTACAGAGAGAAATCCGAGTGGAAAAATATGGCAGACGGCAGAAAACAATTTCCTGGGTCTAAATTTGATTACATAAAATTTCAACCAATATCCACTGAGCCAGTAACGGTGTGCAATGGACTAATTTGTAAATTAGAATCGAGAAAACTAAGATGCAGATGAACCGAATGGTTTTTTCCAAAATAACCGAATACTTAGTTTATTTTTTAAATAAAAGCCGAAGCTGAATGCTGATAACCATGAAAGTGTTACAAAGTAAAACATAGGAGTTGTGTGTCCATACTTGTTGCATTCTGTATTCTACCATTTTCTCACAAAACACATATTCAGCTTATCCGAAAATTTGGAAAGAAATATTGAGGCACTTAAGATGTACTGAGTGACAGCCAGTACTGAGAAACTGGAGAGAAGCCTGTGGTAAGGTCTTATTAATTTCCTGTTCGATAACAGTGTCAGTTAAGATCTTTCATCTAGGTTGTACTTTAGTTTGAATCGATTAATTTTCGGGGCATTTCATTAAGGGTCAATTTAAGGTCGTGTTGGGAGAAATTTGATAATCCAATTAGCACACGAAGCGCAAGTTACATGAAGACTGCAAAGCATAAACAATTACGGAATCATAAATGTTGTTTCTGTAAATGAGGAAATTCACCCGGTCTGAGATAACAAATAAAGTAGGGTCCACAGAGCAGTGTCCCGGAGTTGTTGCCTCTCACTGATACCCATATAAGAGATTTCATTAAAGTGTGGGAAAACAGTTCACTGAAAACCATCGGTTTGAGTAGCTGGAGGCCCGACTGAAAATATGATATAACGAAACCAAAGTAATCATATTTCTGAGCCTACATCCAACGTTTCGGTCAATGTTGTGAGCCACTCTGTAACCAAGTCGGACAACGAAAGAGTTGATTTTACTGAAGATGTTTTGGTGTTGGTACAATGTTAGCATACTGGTAACTAGGGTGCATTATTGGTGAATGGTCAGGTGGCTGTTGATCTGTTCGCCGAGTTTGATCATTGATTTGTAAGCGTTTCTTTACCATTCGGGTAAACATCTTCAGTGCGATTTCAGGCATTCTGTCAACAGCCTTACTCTAAATCCACAAAAAGTTTCTGTTAGCTTCAGCTATAAAGCACCCCAGGTAAATTCATGGCAATAAAGCAATACGCGCTCAAAATGGTCTTGTCTGAAATAGAGTTGATCCGATCCAATACGTCACGGAAGACTGATCGATGTAGTTAATGATGAAATCCCGATAGAATACCAAAATGTATGGAATAATGTTTTACCATCGCCAATCTGTTCCTGATTATAACCAGCACCAGATTATACTACTAAATTGCAACGGCTTTTTACAACGTTAATGAACAAAACATTCTCTGAAGACACGTGATTTGAACCACACAGCAAACACTTATTCCGCTGAAATCATGCGTCTGCCTATGTAGTACAAATTAAACAAATCAGTTTTTAGGTATTTGGAAAGCCAAATTGAAGATAAAATTATCCCGATTTGACTCAAATGTTTCAATTCATGTGTTTTTATTCTTCGCCATAATGACAGATACCGATAACTACCAGCTACGTCACATTCTGGACGAAACAACTAGATTTGTGCGAATCTACTTTCGCTGTATTTACTTATTTTCGGAATTAAAATGTTCCACTTCCGAAGAAGGCACTTCATTGTCGACCAGATTTAAGGTAATATGAAATTCCTTTGGATTAGTTTACTACAGACTGCGGTAAATGGTTCAACGGCAGTGCATTGAGTGGAATACTCCATTCAGTGGGATAGACACATACATACCAGGTTTCCCGTGAACTACCAATAATAGGCAGCTACCCAGGTTGATATAGGCAGATTCTACTTTTGGTTCCAGATAGTCCTAGAGCGCTGTCCGCATAAGATCATATCGATATTGGGAAACCCTCCATCGTCTTTCAATGCAAATTTATTTTGAATTTATGAAGAAAGATTCACCTGCCAATTAAACAATCGCTTTTCCTCTGTATTCCACGGGTGATCTCATGAATACCAGAGTCGATTAGGAGAATTAGTCACGCAAGAAACAACGGGAACCCCAACCGCTGTAAGAGCACTGCTCACCCTTTTCCTCAGGCTCGGGTTCATCCACTGGAGAGGCCGGCTCTGGAACACCAAATTGGAATAAGATAGCAAAGAGTGCGCCATAAAAACTGAGCATGAGGCTGATATTTCGGAAGAATGGCATGTCTTTCACTGTGAAACTTGTGGCTGCGCTTGAAATTTCCGTGACGTTCCACTCGTTTGTTATCTCTTCAGTCAGCGTTTTGTTTGTCGTTGGACCTATGTTGATTGCCGCCTTTGTTGCTCCGATTTGTGCGTTGTTTTGTTGTAGCAAAAAGTAGGACATTATGAATGATGATATATCGGCCACCGACCCAAACAAATATCGGAGGGAGACCAAAAGTACACGCTCTGCCTCATCACTCGTCAGGTAGTTGATCAACGTCAGATGGGCTATTTGAACGGCAGCCCATCCCACCTTGGTTTGTAAAGAAGTGAAAATCGGAAATGAGGCAAAGTACGTCTTTCAGTAGGAGGTGGGATATAAAAGCGCCAAATAACGCTGTTCACAGAAATTTTATAGTCGGTCTTAAAAGTCAACGGCCCGCTCAATGTGACAAATTCTATTTCTATCGGGGACGGGATTATCTAAGGTTTTTTACACGAAGGGAACGACACAGAGTGGCGAAAGATCTAGACAGTAATCTTGGATGAGAGCTAGTGTTGAATTCCCTCAAGACGGAGTAAAGGCGCTTTTGGTCAAAAAATGTAGAAAGTCATATTTGAAATCAAGGAAGTTAAAAACCATCGCGTACTAGAACAACGCATTATTCACGATCGTCGCTTCTTTTTATCTTGTTCCGATCATAGCGAGCTGATCACAGCTGATCTGTCGTTGACAAAGGAAAGAACTATGGGCCCTTTTCCATCATTGGATTAAAAAATCCACCTCGTTCAGGCCTAGTGAAAACGGATTTTACTATGTGTCAGATATTGATCCGTTTGCATAGCTTACATTGGAAGAGAAATCATGTGTCAGTAAAGCTCTCATCCTTGCCGACCCACTTAAAAGCTTCTACACACATACTTGACACGTTCGAAGCTGTTGCTCCGTCACTCTGTTAACGGTAACCAAAAAGGAAGCTTCAACTTAGGAACGTTGCCACACCTGGGTTCCTGTGAGTTGTGTGCACTCCACTAGATATCTGATATAAAAACAATCAATGTCACTAGTTAAATAATCTAGAAGTAACGTTGCAGGTGACGCAATTTATGACTCTAAATTTCAAAGCACTGAGAGTATACACGGACCGTGAGTGGTCGATAGTTAGGTCCAATAATTGCAGTTCTGAAAAAACATTGTTAATGGGATATATGGACGGAGACGCATGAATAATGGCATCTATTATTAAACTGCACTCGGTGGCCCTTGTATTCTTATCTCCCGATGTTTCTTTTAAGGGTTACGCTCCTTCTGGATGACCCTATTCTTAGAATTGACCGTTTGCCTTGGTCATTTTAAGCATATCCTTCAGAAGAATATTGAGGTAACAGAATAGGTTTGAATTCGGTCGTTCAGCTGGGCAGTTTGACTGCAGACGATTCGTCCCCAATCGAGGTGATATCATCACTGCGTTGTTAGGGAGCGCATTGCCCCGTCACCAACAGCAGATTTGCCTGAACGCAACTAAAATTATTGAGGTTCATTCACGCGCTCCAATGCAATGGGGGAGGTTGACTCTTGTTTGAACAATTGTCCCTCTGTCCTAGCGCAATCATTTTGGTGAGTGCACCCCAAAAGAAGCACTGGACTTCAGTTTCACTCATATTAGAGCTCATCAGCACTGCATATCCGACGGCCATGTCGGGATTTGAACTCCGCCCATCTGACACGCGAGGTGAGCGTATTACGAATACCACACCTTCGCACGCTGGACATATCCAAATTAGTGCGATCGGCATAACCAAGGTGTGTCACTGGATCGTACTTCAAGGTGTCGGACGTTTGGCTCACATCAATCAAGCGCAAAAATGCTCACCTGATCAGACGTAGGTTGGTGTTGGGAAAGGAAAGTCGCTCAGTGCCCGTATATCGCCCTGAACAATAGTTTGATATGGCATCGTATTGATTAGGAGAGTCTCTTGATTAGTGGAATTCGCGCTCACTATTCCTGCGTAAACAGTTCTACTGCTATGGTTCACTTGTTCTAGCGTGTCCGCACCAGAAGAAAATGCACCGGCATTATTAGTAGTATATCTACTTGGCCGTACCGCACTTCGAACCGTGGAAATCCAACATACAAAGCTAGAGTGTGTTATCACCACTTTATCGCATACGGATGAATTGTCTTGTCTGAAGAGATGAACGTGATTATACTTTAACGATCTGATTAGTTTGCCTCTTCCACAGATGGCTCCGTGACTGCCACAGTTTTTGTCTATCGATTATCACCTCTTGTCAAAGCCTCCCAGTTAGATCGTGCGATGGACGGTTGAAAACAGCTGAACAGTTTTTCTTTATTTGTGGGTATTGAGGGATTAGTAGAATTCGCATTCATACCACACTCCTTCGAATAGTCCTCCTCCTGAATTGGCTCGATTGTTCACTCAAAGGAACCAAAACAAAAACGGGTAAACATTCGGTTACGGAACGGCTATGACCTACCGGGCAACTGGGTGTGTTATGAAAACCATATCCGGTCGGTATGGCCTGGTCTACGATCTGCTTCGATTATTTGGATTAGCTCCAAGAGATGCTAGAATGGTAATAGGTTTTACGACTTAATTTCCTGCAAACTGATTTGCTGAACTGTTGCAAAGTGGACACACAAAGCAGCCATTTTAATTATAAATCATTCATTAAGGGGCTGCGTCCATATAGTCTAACTTACCACTTAGCTACTAGTTGCAGTTATCACATCTTGTTCGGAATAGACGGCAAACATCTACTCGTTAGTTTATGAAATTAATTTTGGAATCCCAGATTCACGTGTATGGCCATGTGACTGTCATAATGTTCTCGGGTGAGCATGACATATCGTGATTCAAAAGAGGAATATGGGGGATAATGGTGTTGAAAATTGCTTTTTGTTAGGAGTCAAACGCCTCACTGGATAGATGTAACAAACCAATGGTACTTTCAGCAGAAAACGTAGGGGAGGAATTTAGGGAAGAGGAATTCGTCTGTCTGGTTAGTGGCCATGATGATAGGCAGTGCTCTGTATTTCCGTTTCTTTGTAATAAACTCAATGACAATGCACTGTTAAATAAGACATTTGGAAGTTACCCGAACTCCACTAACCATGCGAAAAAGTTGTGTTTTTGACGTTAGTTTGAAGTGATTCAAGAGGAGCGGTTCCTCCACAGGGAAATCAGTTGGAAAAGACTACTGTTCGGCGGGACTATGTGAATGTACCCTGGTTGTCCGATCAACACCAAAATTATTACAAAACACACACCGACTGAGGACTTGACTAATACCAATGCTCATTTGATGAACGAGGCATTATTGTGACCGAAGTTTACCGGAGGCGAGCGTATCTAGATCAAAACATTATCAACTGAGATGAACCATCTGACTATTCTTAAGAGGTCGCCACGTTCGGGATGAAATGAGGTCATCTAAAGGGCATCTTCATAACGTGATTTTAAAAATAAAGTTTGCGCGAGATGCGGTTTCACGAGGTGGCGAAAGCCGAAGAATCTGTGATCAATAATCCATATTTTATATCAGTCAATATACGATTACTTTGGGCCACACTTTAGGCACATCTTCCTTTTGCTAAAACAATATAACTCGCAAACTACGTAACGTTGAATGCATATAAGCGTCTGGAAATTTGAGGAAGCTAGAAACGAGAGATTCGGAACAAAATTGCTTTGCAAATGAGTGTACTTCTCGAGGCTAGAAGTATCTTCTTGTGCGAGTAACACTAGAGAAAGCTACTATACATTGCTTTTAGACACACGATAGTATTTACTGATTAAAAACGAGGCTCGTCAAACTACTCATCGGTTTTGTAATCACTGACATGAATTGTGTGAGAGCGCTGTGCGTAAACTCTAAAATATAAGTATTCTGGAGCACATTTGTTGAGAAATAATTACGTGACATTTTGAGAACACTGCAAAAAATACCAAGATGGATTGAAGCAACCAGGATATCTGAGGCATCGATTGAACTCAATCACGTAGCCCGAGCATGACCACATTCGTCTGACATTTTAAATGCTTCGACCACGTGCTGGTGGAATATTGGTAAAAAGCTGGTCCCCCGTGTCAGATTTCCGGGTTCCAAATCCCGTCACGACCAATGAAATGCATTACTGAAGAGCTCTGTTAAGAGCGGAACTAAACTCTGATGCTTTCCTCACCTCGATTTCAAATAATCAGAGCGACTGCGCTGGAACAGGAAGAGAACTGTTGACACGTGATGCCTGCTGTCGTCCAAACAGCAATGAGACAACAAACCGTAGAGTGCTTGAGCTACGATTTAGAAGGCTACTGGCACATGAGACGCACAAAATGTAATATGTGACTACAGAAAAACAATTTCAGACACGAAAAAAGACTGAACAGCCACTGAAATACCCCGTGAATGTTAACGCGTCTGCAATGTCGCAGCAAAAACTGTCTCAGTTAGCTTGATCAAGGGAATTTCGAGCAAAGATATGAGGCATTGTATCTTAAAAAAATCGAGTGATATATTTGAATCCAAGACAAACAACTTGGACGTAATGACTACTGACTGTTTACCTTTTATACGTTTTAATCGTGCGGTTTTCACGACTTAATTACTTTGATCTAACTGGTCATGCAGTATACTGGCAAAGTGGAACATTTTTCATATTGTTTGGCACCAGAAAAGAGATCAAACGCCTGACCGAAAACCACAATTGTATCATTCTCTAACACTGTCTTAGGAACCTTTCGGGGCGCGCAAACCTCATTACTTGAACATTAGTTTCTTGGGCTGAATAAATGAAATGAAAAAGCCGTTGGCAGCTCTGTCACAAATGGAACATCGCGGTCATCATCATCATCGCCATCTGTAGTAACCGCGTACTTGTCGTGATGGTGGTGGTTGTAGCAGCCACAGTTTCGTTCACCGATGATTTGGGAAGGTGGGGTAGGTAGTTGCGCTTTACAGACGGGAGCTGATAAATTGGTGCGTAAATACACGACTGTTAAGTGGGGTGATGCGAAGGGACGTATGCAATGAAGGCAATGGCTTGGATGCACGAGCGCCATTGAGGGCGCAACTGGGCCATGAATGACAATGCCCCTAACCATTGATGTGGCCCGTCTCGGGGTCCCCATCCTGGAAGACGGCAATGACCAGCGCGACTGAGTTTGCTGGTAAGGGTTTTTGTACTTCGCAGTTCACTTGTATGTCCCCAGAAATGCAGACTCCGCGACAAACGTTTGGGAACTTGCATGCGTTTCGTCATAAGGTTCAAGGATGTACTGAATGAGTACCGTCTAACTCAGAATTTCAGAGTAGCGAATCCAAGAAACGTCGATATCAAACTGAGTTGCTGCGTTCTACAGTCCGCTTTGAGAAGTTCAGCTTAAAGGTTTTGTCCATCATTTGGCTCAAAAACACGTGAGTTTCAGAAAGAAAAACCATGAGTTATCGCTTTTGATCTGCTATATATAACAGACTTGCTTGACTGTCCGTAAGAGAACACGATAGAGGATCATGTTACCCCTGCTTCCTTGAAGGACCAAAGAGTGACATCTTCCGGAACAAAGTGTCTCACTCTTTAAGTATAAAAGCATCGTGCGATTATTCTGGTATTTAATAAGCAAGAAACACTGCTAACATTGACATCACATGTAACCAGAGAAGCTCAAGAATAATTGGGAATTGGAGAGGAAAGACTGCCAACAATGCGGCTAAAGAGTTTCGTCATGTTGACTGAAGACTACTGAACCTCATGCCGAATGCTGGATGAGTTATTCGTCCATGCATGTATGTAGGTGTCTATGAACTGTGTAAGTATTGAAACGTCGCAAACCCAGCGAAATCCCCGTGGGCATATATGGTCATTCATGAATATTTCCTAAAAGCCTGCACGAACAGGCTGCAAATCCTACGCTACTATCACAGGTAAAATATTTAAATCGGCTCTCCCACTGGGAGCCTTAACTTTCAAAGCTAATAGTATTTTTTTGGTAACTGAGGGATCAATTGCCTCCAAACTCCCGTATATTCCATAATGTGAGCCCAATAAATACTCCCCAACACCTGTCTTATTTGGCCTTCTAAGAGCGTGAGCGAATATCGAAAAACGAGAAGATATTTGAAGCTTTTGAACGGTAGTAGTCTAAAGTAATGAAGAATGCTCAGACTATACTCATTTTCTCGTCGAGTTCTTGGGTATTATGAAAATCTTTGGACAAAGCAAAATTGAACGATGTTGAGATCAGAGGATTGTATGCCGCCACTAGCCCAAAAGGTTGTGCTTTCCTAGACGATGGCACGATTTGTTTCATAGCCTTGGTGCAGCTGGAACTGGTCACCGTAGTTGGGACATATCCGAGTTATTGAATATGAATAAGAACGATTGGGAAGTCAGTTTTTTCTGAGAAAATTAGCCTCTCGATTTGCGGATTGCTTGTTGATGCTTGAGCTAATTTGAAATTCAGTGCCTTTCGTATTTTGTTTGTAAGTATGGACTTTGATAGATCGCTTGCTTCCTGTCAGTCCATTTTATCTTATCTATGAGAGAACCGCTTGCAATTTAGAAAGAGCTGTCAGCAATATCATCGGATAAACATTTTGAAAGGCAGTTTCAGCGAATAAAGCCGTTGTGTTGAGTGAAAGCAGGCAATGCATTGCCACACAGGTGAAACGCTACAAAATCAGAGGGAAAAGGTCTCGTGAGCACTGAATCACGACAGAATTTTTAATTCTGTTTGAAAGGCACTTCCACAGGCCCAAAAGATCTGATCATATTACACATGTCATACCAAAATAGTCAGAAAAATGGTATCAAAAATCGGGTCATAGAGAGTCTCTTGGCAAACATACATGGGAAAATAGATTGACCAGCGTACTTGCTTAAGACAGATCTTTGTTCCTCTAGAAAGACCGCTCGATTAGTTGTGGAGGCTAAGAAACATTGCTGTTTTCTATCGGGTAAGCAAAACATCCTCGAAGAGACCAGTGTATTTTCTCCAATTAACTGAAAAAATTTGTTTGCATTTTTCTAGTATCATTTGCTTGAAATGAGAACCCTACATTATCAGACTATTAACTTCTGCCCACACATATTATTATTTGTCCCACGGTTTCCTTAAACAAAATTCCGTGGGCGCGTTTTCACACAATAAACAGAAGGGGTTTGAAACAATAATGATTTGTAAGGAGCACGTTACCTGTAATCATTAAAATGCTCGGCCGTAGGTTCACCGGATAATCGACAAATTATAAGACAGTTCGTGGAACTGGGAGGTGTGAAAGCTTTGGTTACCTCTAGGAAAGCTAATAACGTCTCTGTGTAATGAAATAAAGTGACGAACCTTCATGACAATAGATTACGCTCCATAAAAAATATAATGTCCTATTCTTCTTCACGTAGCCACTTCATATATGCTTATATACATAGAAGCGTCAATTGGTTGTTTATGGCGGGGTTGACAAGTTACGTGCAGGATTAATTGGGTAGACCTTTCCAAACAACACAATAACCCAACCAGCAGGTTGCTCAAAAAGATGCACTCAAATAGTTCAGCCTCTCTGTAAACGTTCAATAATATGAAACTCATGAACACCACTGTGGAGGTTGGTGGCATTCGAGCACTGCAATAACCAGACCAGAATCCTCATATCTGTGGTACAGCAAAACTGTCTTAAGGCTTTACCTTTTCCAACAGAAAGACATTCCATACTGCATTGTGTTGAAGCACATTCACAACAGCTTTCTCTACTTCAACTTGTGGTTAATGACGAATATATTGTGGAGTTAATTTCGAATCACAAGTTTATCATACCCAAAGCCAAGTAAACTTGAAATTTTCTGAGTTCTTCTTCGTCATAGTTTACTCCCTCGATTCGAAAATTGCGAGCTCACTGGAATTCACAAGATTACCTATATGAAGAGAAAACATTACTAGCCACCAGGAAGTAGTTTCCTTCCGATAGTTGACTGCTTCAGACTGTGGTTGGTAGAATGATGAAGATCTGTAACAGAGACTAAATTTTGAAAGAAACTCAAAATTCTATCTACAAATTCATTGATCCAATTTTAAAGGTGTTACTCCTAATTACCAAGCTCATCTTCATGTAACGATCAAAAACTCGGCCCATCGAATCATAGACCTCACAAGACGTTATTGCAAATAAATTTAGATCTTTTTGTTTTAATCATAGGAATAGCATACTTCAATCACTTACTTGTACCAGAGTTAAAAACCCAGTAACGAAGAGAGTTTTCACCCACACATTTGCGTATGCGAAGGATTCAGGTTGACCAAAGAGACAGGGAAGACTAATGGTCATCAGAATACTGCCATAGATATGCCAAGCCTTCCGAGTACTTAGACTGAGACGAGATTTACATTGAAACCAGAAACGCTTCAATCTTGATTGATTATATTCCCTTGCGAAGGAATCCAACATGGCTTGAGGTTCAGCTCTGCTAACAGCTCGATCGGACAAATATCCTATAAGTGGTGTACTGATCGCGTTCATTATTTGCCCAGTCAACACAATCGCACCCACAAGTGCGTGTTCGAAACCCAAACACTGCTCGAGATAAATAATGGCGAAGATAGCAAGCATCCCGGCAACCAAGTCTTTTTGCAGCTGACCAACGCCATGGGCGATACGGGTGATCCATCGCATTATTTGTGATGCAGTCCTTCGCTTCTGTAAACTGGGGGCAAAAATTGATCACCAAGGAAGCTTCAAATTATTCGGAATAATTAGAGTCGTAGCATCGTGTCCCCACTTTTAGTATCTTGAACTCGCCCGCCCCGTTTCAACTCAGCTGATATGTGGAGACAGCCTGATTGGTCAGTGTAACAACCAACAACCAGGTTCGCCTACGTAGCGCCATTTCGGAAGCAGCCATTATCGCCGTTGGTGATTGGGTGGGAAGCAACGTAACCATGACGGTGGATGTTCACGTGATTCACATGCGGTATGACGGCTGATACACAAGAGACCGCCACAAAAATGTTTCGTACGTTATTCTGTGGTTGTAAATCAGAAAATGTTTGAAAAATTAGTTGATAATCAGATAACGTCGGTTAACTTTTAGACTTCATGATTCCGGTAAGTCGTTCAGCAAATACACAACTTCCATCTGGAAATATCTAAGAAGACGAGATGTATCATAGTGTACCAGATTAACTTTCAAACAGGAGGTGCTCTGGAAACCAACGCATTCATCCGTACAAAAGCCATGCATCTCCTTTGTTCATTCTGAAATTAAAAATTCCGAAATTATAAGCATATGTCACGCCGCTGAGTGCCAGCAATACAAGAGAACATTTCAGTAGAAGCTATGGTGAAATTTTATTCCGTTATTTTCGCAGTGTACAAGGAACGATAGTCAACGATCCTCAACGCCACATGCGGAAATTTCTAACACACTATATTTTGGTAAATCAAACGAATCCAGTCAAAGCCGTTATTAGGTGCTCCCTAAGTTCATAAGACACCTGTCCATTAGCCTAATACCGTAGTGTTAAACAGACCTTGTTTTTAGTGGTGCTGTGGCGTTTACACACAGGTTCATGGTAGGTTTATGGAGATTGCAGACAAAATATTGAGCAGCGATGTGACAGTGTGGACTCTATTATTTGACTGAACCCTGTGATATAGAAGGCCATTGAAGTAGCGTATCTACTCATGAGACCAAAAGAAAGGATGAACAAAGTGACTTACTTAATTTTTAACGATCCCAATCAAGGTTTGGTGTAGCATAGGTGTGGTCACCTCGGTTAATACTTTGAAAAATACTTTTCTTCATACATCCTGGAGTGCATTTTTTCGCAGAAACGAAGTGGAATGTGAGCTAGTTAATTACAACAAAAGCATATTCAGGTTCATGACTGTCAGCTTCCCGAAACCATAGATAGATCTGTTTTCTCTCAGCCCTGTGCTGAGTGGAAGCGACCGAGAGGTGGACAGTGTATGACCTGCTAACGGAGTAGGAAAACACTAACCGGTAAAATTAGTCGAGTGGGCAACTCTCGCTTCCCTGAATAGGGACCCCAGGACTCAAATCACCAGCGGTTAATGACATTGGGGGAAATGGTCCAATCGCGCATTCATTTGCGCTCGTGCATCAAAGCCATCGCCTTCAATGCGTAGCTACCCGATCTCTGAGAAAACTGAACATGCCGTCGTCCTTACTTTTTACTTTCCAGTGGCAGCTGGAACCGATGTGCACACGGCGTATAGTTGATAAATCGATTGATTGAAATGATAGCCAGCTATTTATTAGGATATCCGGAACTTCACGTGTGTGGCTCATGCGACATCACAAACTGCAATGCGTTAATCATATGGTATGCATGCCGGGTTACCGTTTACCAGAAGAAGGCTGTTCTCTACGCTATAATGACAGCGCTGCAAACCAAGAGGTGGACGAAATATGCAGAGACAGACTGGGATGTTAGGTACTGTTAGTGTCGTTTGATTCCTAGGCTGGGTTCCTCTTGGTCCTCCTCCACAATGACTGCACATGCTGCAAGACTTGTTCTCTATTACCGATATCATCAGTGTTCATTCTGCTGGCTTTTATCTGGAGGGTCTGAACAAAATTTCAAAGTTGTGAAAGCTCAAATGTTTCTAATAGACCGACCTAAGTCTGCTTCCCACCATCCTCCTCTTCTCTAATATGGGGTTTATTTAAATGAAGCAAAGCAGTTTTAAAGCATTTAGGTTCATCTGCTCTGACACTAGTGATAATGAGGATGGTAGTGTGACTGCTGTCAAAGCTGTAGCTACATTTATCTATAAGAGACTTAGTCCTGTAAGGACAGTCGTAAGGTCTTACCATCTCTTCTGATGATCTTGGCTGCGAGACGATTCTTATGGATGTTTTGCTTGTTGGTGTAAAATCCAAATTAATGTCACAGAAAGATAGAGATCTCATGCAAACGTTTTTTCTTCAAGGTCTAAGCTGTCTAAAAGCTCACAAACTATATTCCGATTCCGTTAGATAATCACAACAGATAAGTGAGATGTCATTCTAACAGTCGGTTTGAATGTCATGTTAACATTTGACGTTTGCTGATGTCACACATCGTCGACCGTCTAAGGTTGCCTCTTAAAGTTATGTTTCTTTCTAGCATAAAGGGAATAAGCTGAAAGTGATAGAAAATCACTTATTTCGGACTAGTATGCGAGTATGGGTAATTTGTTTTCCATATTTTATGGGGATGTTTTCAAATTTTCCGTTATACGGGTAAACCCTTTGCTTGCGAAATATTGCGGGTAAGCGCTCCAGTTTGAATTGGCGTGTTTACGAGTGCTGTGAAACGTGAATGAACGTCGTTGCTTGGTTACGATACTGAAGGCTGTTTCAGACCAAATAACTATGCATTCTGTGAACAGTCGTTTCTCGCTTGCTATTGTATTCTAGATCGTAGCGAAATCTCGTTACCAACTACATCGGCCTCCATTTACTTGATGCTAGACCAGCATGAAGCATTGGAAAACGAGTAATGTACTTGCCTACGCATAGTTACAGTGTGACCATAAATTGTGCTTACCAAACATTATAGTATTCTACCTGGTTATCTACATCCGCCTAAAAATGGTTTGTGCTCATCTTGTGGTAAAATTGACCTTAATTTATCATAAATATGCGAGAAAATGTGTGCTTCGTCCGATTTTTTATTTCGCCGGATCCTATATGGTGCTACCCGGCGCAACCATGTTTTTATTGTCATTTACACTACTCTAGTATGTTAGCCTCATTTGTAAGCGAATGATTATTGCACTTGACGTTACACCACGAACGCTGGAGCAAGCAACGAAGGGTGAGAAGATTGTGGACATCACACAATGTGGATTTATTCATGGGAGCTTACACGGCTAGCACAGTTTATTTTAGTCACTTAGATTTCCGAACAAACGAACCGGTGTTTTGGTAGGTAGCTTGAATTTTCGTAAGTGAGGACGACAGTTTTCAGCCTGGTGTTCATGCAGTTTGTAAATGTTTTGGCTGAAAATAACTAGGCCTCTACAAATTTTCGGAGCGAAATCCAAAGGAATGGAAGGATGAAATCTCAAAGCCATTATCTTCATTACCAGGTGTAAGAACCGCGTACTTATCCTACAGTGGTTATAGCTGCCACAGTTTCGTTCGTCGATGATTTGGGGAGGTGGGGTAGATAGCTTCGCAGTAGAGGCGGAAGATGACATAGCTGATGTGTAAATAAGGGTTTCGTAGGTGCAGTTTTAAGTAAGGAAAATGAGAAGAGAGTTATGCGTTGAAGGCAATAACGCCATTGAGGGCGTCACTGGGCCATGTCTGACAGTGCCTCCAAACATTGATGTGGCCCGTCTCGTGTTTCCCATCCAGGGAGACGGCAATGACCAGCGCAACTGAGTTTGCTGGTAATGGCTTTCATGCTTCTCTGCCAAGTGATTGTTTGACCGCCTCTGGCTCTCTTCCACCCTTCACGTGGTGCTGCGAAAAGTGCTCTTCGAGGAAATCGGTCGACTGACATACGCAGCACGTGGCCAAGCCAGCGCAACGTATGCGCGGGGTGAGTAATTTTTCCCGAATACTATTCCACGAACTTCAGCATTTCTAATCCGGTGTTCGCACCAGATTCGGGCAATGCTCCGAAGACATCGATGGTCAAACACTGAAAGTCTTTTGACATGGTGGCGCGCAGCGGCCAGGTTTCTGATCCGAACCAGCGGTGAACGAAAGTGTGGCAGCTACAACCACCGTACAGCTGAATAAGATTGTGATGATATCTGAATACTATTCAAATCTAGTTTGCCTTTACAAACATTGTCCCAATTTTCGTGCTATCCGTAGTGTCAGTGTTCGACTAAATGACTGGTAGTACCATTTGAAAGCAGAGTACGTAGACCTTACTCTATTGTTATTTTCTTGATTTAACCTATCGGAATAAAATATTGCTGCTAATTGAGCTGATAACTAGCGCAGTAAAGACTTTAGAAAACACAATCTGAAGTTATGTGGTTTTTATTAAGCCATCATTCAAGCAAACGGCTATCCTCACGTTTGAGAGAAGTGTGACTGGAGTCTTTGCTGCCGACAGAAAATTCACCCTCCTGTTGCAACTGTGTCGTTGCATTTGAAACGTTGCTTGTGTGTCACATCGTCCTCATCCTTATCATCCCCACCAATAGCAGAAAAATCGGGGCAGAAGATCAACCTATTCCCTCCATAAAACCCCAGAATCTATTTCTACGCCTGAAGACTGAGTTAAAGGAGAGTGGTTGAAAGAATTGAATAAGTGATTCACAGCAAACATTATTGCGTGCTTCAAGGAGCTTACACAGTGACACTTATCCTAGAGATGAGGATGGTTGGCACCGAATCTGTAATGTGTTTGAAAAGTGTGTCACAGTGATTTAAATTTGACTAAGGTTTATTACAGTTACTTTCTTATACGCTCATATCGACCAGAGTTGACTACTTGTCATCGGTTTCCAAGACGAGCTGCAAACATGTTCTTCTGAAGCTGTGACTCATCAGTATTATCATTATCATCTGTAAGACCATGTACTTGCCGTATAGCGGTTATAGCTGTGAAGTCTAGAAAGTCACCTGCATGTATATAATGGAACAATGTCGATTTGAGTGAAATTCTTCCGTTTTAGGAGACAATGCTTGAAGGATCCATCAGGCGTTGTCCCCTCAAGTACTTCTGTCTCCTAAAAGTTTTTAAGAAACAACTAATGTGGATTTCCCCCGAGAGGTGGTCAGCTTTGATAACAACCTCCACGAATGAGAACATTTGTATTTCCAACATGAGACACCTCGTGGGCTATTTGCCGATATAAATGTTTCGCATTAAGACCAGTTAAAATGCAGGCCATCAAAAAAGAATATTCCAAGTTTGGCTATGAGATTTTCCAATTTTTGCCGTCCACTTCTCACACCATCAGATGTGCACTGTGAACTGCCGCATACGATTATTTCCAAGGATTACGGACTTGAAAGTATTAAAGCTAAAACACAGATTGTGTCAATGTTAGACGGAATTCCACACGGATCCCGCTTTACCACTCGCACTCAGGTGCTGCTACGGCCGAGAAGTCCATCCCACGCAAGATTGGCCGAGAATTCGGGACGCTTGCCGGTCCGGCATCAAGACGAGATCCGATTGGTCGAAAGTCTGGACCCAACAGCCAATCATGATCCAGTATCGGCCAAATGCCGGTTGCCAATGACGCATCCAGAACGCGTCAGGCATTCCAGAAAGTTATGACCACCTACACTATACATACGAAGCGCTGTAGAACTGTTCCTGACTACGTTTTGGGCATTAATAGTCCTTGTGCACCTTTGGTGGTTGTTTTGATGTGAACGCTAGCTTGGGAGGCTTAGACCGAGAACTAAGCTGAGAGCAATATCGTTACTGCGGTCAAGAATACCTAACCATAAGGTGGGCCAGATTAGCTGAAAGAGAGTCTGGGGTTGTAGGT